CTCCCTCCATCGTTCGCCGTTCAAACCCAGTCCCTTCAGATCGGCTTTAATGCAATCTTCCCACCTTCGCTTCGGTCTACCCCTCGGACGCTTACCATTCGGCACAGCAAATATTAATCTTTTAGGCATTCTCTCGTTACTAAGCCCAACAACTTTACAAGCCCATTTGATTCGCCGCGATGAAATTACCTCAATTATATTACTCGGATACAGCTCAAGCAATTCGGCGTTGTGTAACCGTCTGAACTCTCCGGTTAACTCATCCTTCTTCGGTCCGAATATTCTACGCAATACTTTATTTTCAAAAACCTTAAGACGCTGTTCATCCCTTAATGTAAGCGGCCAAGTTTCGCATCCATAAAGAACTGTAGGCAAGATAATTGTTTTATAGATTCTAATTTTTAAGTTTCGGGACAAGAGGCGCGAACTAAGTAGTTTTGTCACAGAAAAATAACAAGCATTTCCCGCCTTCAGTCTAACCTTAATCTCTTCTTCAATTTCGTTTTTTCTAGTTATCGTAGAACCTAGATACCTAAATTTATCTACCTGTTCATACATATTACCATCTATATCGATATCACCAGTAGTATCGCCATTTTTGCAGCTAACCATATATTTTGTTTTATCCACGTTTATTTCGAGTCCTAGTTCTTTACCGGCTTTCATTAACGTTGTCTTCTTTAGTTTTATAGTTTCAACGTCTTCGCTTAACAGTACCAGATCATCAGCATAGCCCAGCACGGATGTTGTCCCGCCCGTATCCAACCCTTTCTCGTTTCGCATTACCTCCCTAATGGCATGTTCTAATGCCAAATTGAACAGGACAGGTGAAAGAGAATCCCCCTGTTTTAAGCCCGAACGAACCTCAAATTTTTCGGACAAATTATTACCGATTCTAACTTTATTGAGCGTCTCCGTCAAGCACATCCTGACTAGATTTACTAGTTTTTTTGGAATCCCCTGCTCGATTAGAATATTATACAGTTTCTGGCGGTCAATAGAATCGTAAGGCTTTTTAAAATCTATATACAGCTGGTGAAAAATACCGTTATACTCCAATTTTTTCTCTAATATTTGCCGTAAAGAAAATATTTGATCAACAGTCGAACGATTTAAATCCGCATTGGTAGTCTCCGATAATTTCCTCGGCGTATTCCGTGATTCGACTGGTTAAGATTAAAGTGAATATTTTATAACATACCGGAAGGAGTGAAATTCCTCGATAGTTATTACAATCTGTCCTCGGACCCTTTTTGTGAATCGGAATAAGAATAGATTCTTTCCATTCTTCAGGTAATTTCTCGTTCACCCAGATCTTTTTAACCAACCGATGTATTTTAGAAACTCCAGCTTCCCCGCATGTCTTAATTAGTTCAGTAGGAATATTATCGATTCCCGCTGCTTTATATGATTTTAATTTTCCGATAGCTACTTCAACTTCCTCCTTACTTGGTCCTTCTATTAACGGTTCAGCACTCTGGTACTCAGAAGGAGGACACACATCATAATTTCCCGTATTTAAAATATTGTCAAAGTGGTCCTTAAACTTATTCAATATGTCAACCGGATCGCGCCAACTATGTAAGTGCGTAAAAATATATATATATTTAAATTCTTATATATATATATAATTAAAATTCTTCAATAAGTCGCCTAATCGGCTTGCGTGTACGTTTGCTGATTCGAAGCATCTCGGCTTGAGGTGCTTTCACTCCTCCTGAAAACGTCCTCCGTCAGGTTGGCTGAAAACCCTTCAGATCCTGTCTCGTGTGTCAGACCAACCGTCTCCGAATCACCGTTCTCCTCCATGACCTCTGGCGAAGTGACATCCTCTGACTGTCAACATAACTTATCTGTATCTGGTCTACATGGCGAATCCACTGTTGATTCAAAAATGGAACAAATACTTCCACTCTTCGGGGCTCTAGACGTTTAGTCACTTCAGCTCGTACCCAACTGTTTTCGGATCTCTTTACCCTTGGACCGAATCTCTACCCAACGACGGGAGTCCCGTTGAATCTATGGCATAAAATGTCACATCCTCAATATCTCTACCTTCATATGAAATGTTGGTGTTTAAACATCCTATAGGTTTATTTTTTCTTTAAAATAAGATACAAATGTTTTTGATGTAGGTTGTAACGGAATGTTTTTAAATTTCGAGTTGAACACTGATAAAGGAATAATAGAGCAACTGCAGCCTGTATCCAATTCAAGGTCTATTTCAACGTTATTTTTCAAAATTAACCTTATATATTGTACCGTCTTACAGAAGAATTTATATTGAAAATATGAAAAATCAGGTGCGTGCATACGACTTTCACTTACCTCCCCGCCCTCTCCTTAGCAGAAATAACTAATTTCAGACAAAGGGGAAGTGAAAATAAAAATTATAGGCGCCATATTTATTTACATTTCATGGTGGGTATTTTTATTTGTTTACATACCCTTATTTAGACAAATTTTAGTTTTTATATTACTGTATTCCATACAATTAAATATTAAATAATACCAACGATAGCATTTATGAAAACTGCACATTTATATGTACATAATATTGCTGGAGTTCGTATTATATTAAGCTCATGTTACGTATGTACTGTTTTAGATAAGCTCGGACGCGCTCCTATTCCTTTGGTTCTTCTATTACAACTATTATTCGTTACGATCTCTTATATTTCTTTTTATCAAATTCTTTCATATCTTATATTTAACTATTTTTTGTGTCAAAGATTAATGTGAAATGATAAATTATTTCAAATACAAAAAACTAAAGGTACTTTAAAGAAGCTAATGTTGAAAATTAGCCATTTAAGCCCTGTTAGAGAACATAAATGAGAATAAAACCTACATTATATTGAAAACCGCTTAATAATACACTGATTTATTGAGTTTAATCAAACTCGTTAGAGCCATTTTTGAGAAAATCGGAAAAATGTGTTAAGTGTATTATATAAAATACCACTTCCGGTTTGCCGATTTTGGCGAAAATGTTGCTGTTTATAGCGACCCGTTTTTCGGCCGCCATTTCGAAACGAAAGACCGGATGGTAATAAAATGTTGAAAAACACTCCTGAATTCGATTGCAACGCTGTGAAAATTTTCAAAGCAATCGGTGAAGAACTTTCGGAGAATAGCGGCTTTGAACAAAAAACCATTCACATTTTTATTTTTATTTTTTTGCACATATAAAATTATCGTAAGACAGAATTACTATTCCAGAAACCTTCCCAAATTTCATGGTGATCAGATGATTAGATTAGTAATGCATAAAGGACAAACAGACAGACTTATATTGATTTTTATCTATATATAGATGATTTCTGAAAACATACATTATTTAGTGTAAATGTTATGTTTCCAATGAAATTTTCTTTCTAAATATAAACTTTTAAAAAATTTTTTTAGTTTGAAACAAAAGTATTTTAAATCCACCGATTCAAGGCAATGGCATAGTTATAATACTATTTCATTGTACTTGTCTGAAAGAAGATGATAAATATATAAATATTCCATGGATATGTTTATAACCTTAAATACTTTTACTGTAGTTTAATACCTCTGGATCTGATCTTATATTTTAATAATTAGGTATCTATCAGCGTTTATTCTGAACAATCATCAAATGACCATTTGGAAAATTAAATTAGTGAGTAATTGATGAATTTTTCTTTGTGAAATCTCTACATTATCCACTTACAATTTTGACCTTTCTACTCAGGCAATGAAAATGTAATTTTATTTCAGTAAACTTTACAATGGAAAATAACAGTTTAATAACTAATAATCCCACTATCCATAATCATTTATAGGTTAAATATTCTGATGCACTCTCTAGATATATATGAGTCTTTCCTTTGACAGAATAACTAACTCCAATTTCAAAAAATGTTATTATTTATTTTAGTGATGTTTCTAGTGGGAAAATTTATACCTTTATTCACAGTTCTATATTTTAACACTACCTTAACTTTCTCTGGAATTAACTTGCTCTTTGTCTATAGATGTTACTTTTCCAACTAGAAATATCACTAAGAAGATGTCCTTGGGACCTTCTAATATAGAACTTTAATTGAAGTTCTACCAATGGGTAGTTTCTCTTCATGTTTTACATGCCATGTTACTAATTTCATATTGGCTTGTTGTATTTTTCATGTAATACAGTTGTAAACTTTAATAAAAAAAAAAAAAAAATGAAAGAAATATTACTAAAATGACTAATCAAAAATGTTGACTAATCAAAAATGTTTGAAATGACTAAAAAAAAATGTTGAACTAAAAATAGGAGTTAGTCATTAGTCTGAACTGTGAATAAAGGTTTCATTTTTCCCACTAGAAACATCTCTAAAATAAATAATAAAAAAATTTGATTGGAGCTAGTTATCTGTCAATGGAAAGGTTCATACATGCCTAGAGAGATTTGAAAGTACATCTGAATATTTAACCTATAAATGATTATGGATTATAGCTTGAAAACAAGTTAGAGTTCGGAAAACATCTATAGAATTAAATTTTTAGACAATTTTATGAACTTTAATTTACTACCCATGAAATTTCATCCTGAACAAGTTTCTGAAAGAATCACTTAGGTCTCTGCTCACGCACTCTATACCTCCTTTATTGAGTGGACTAATATGTGTATTTACTTAATGATTTTAGTAAGTATAAAACGTTTTTACCCAGCCTCCAAAAAAATATTAGATTAAATAAAAGAAAAACATTTATTTTTTTTAAATTACTCATGGCGATAAAATATTTCATGAGTGTTTTACTCATGTAGTGAAAATGTTTCATGTAATTTACTCGTGGCTAAGCTATTAAGAGTGATCAATCTTCACGAATCGTTCCACATTTACTCGAGTATTTGCCCAACACTGATGTCAAGTCGTACAAGATAAAGGAGAGTCACTAATGATTAATAATTGTTATAGTTAATAACTTCTATTTAATGTATTATTATTGTTAATTGCCCATTAAATTTCTTATTTCTTTTTCATTAGATTATCCCACCTCCGGAATGGAAACCAAGAGAGCAGGGCTATGATCTAAATGATATTCATATCAAAATACCTGCTCCTATTTGTCAAGTGGTTACTGGGAAGCAAGGATTGTATCAGCAAATAAACATACAGAAAAAAGCAATGTCTGTTGTGGAGTACCATAAACTTGCGTCTTCTGCCAAATACTGTACACCTCCACACTTCGATTTTGAAGATTTGGAGAGGAAATACTGGAAGAACATTACATATAATCCGCCCATTTATGGAGCAGATGTCAGCGGAACCTTAACTGATGGGACTGTTGACGTAAGTATCATAAATAATCATTTTTAACCATTTTATATATTTCCTAATTTTTACAGTTCTGGTAAGAATTAAGATCTAAAATTTTAAATTATACGGTTTTTAGGATTTCCTGCTGTCGTTAAAAATTTAATGCCATGAAATTTTTAATCACTATTAAAGAAAAAATAAATTAAATTAAAAAGGAAGTCTTTCAAGTATGCTTAGTACAGCTTCCTCACCATTTCTATTTTGATAATGCAAAGTTTACGCTGTCTGTACAACTTTTCTAACTAGAAATATCACTAAAATGACTTTACTCAAAATTGTTGAAATTGGAGTTAGTCATTCTGTCAACTAAAAGGCTCAGAGACTGAAGTTGTGTGGTCTATAAAAACAGATAGAGTAACTAGAGTTTTATTGCCTACCGTCAAAGTAATGAATACACTTTTCTAATTTTAACGGTCTTAATGATTTGTTATCGTTAACCTTTAAGCTTTAGCACTTCAAAAAATTTATAATAGCCCAATATTACCAGAAATAATTTATTCAAAGTAGAGTTGTAAGTGAAAGTTGTGTGTTGCACACACCAGATTTTTAATATTATTTTTGATCTCACTATATAACAAGAATTACATTCAGGAGTGGGGACGCAAATGGGACGCAGTTAACTAAATTGGATTATTGTAGGATTGGTTGGGATCTTTTAGGATGGTGTATAGGGTAATACTCAGGTATGAATACTTATAGTTATTATTTACTATTTAACCCACAAGATGTAACGTAAACCCTTTAGATTTTAGTACCATCCTAAAATATGAAATGATAGTCAGTTACTCCATATTTGGGGATTTTAACTTGAAAATTTGAATTTACAATTCAAAATGTTTACTTTTCTCGGTTTTCCATCATATCAGGAAAACTTATGTGTTTTTGCGATGTTGATGTGCTATAAATGCTTAAAGTTGACAAAATTTGTGACAGAATTGATTCTATTCATGTTTTGGCTTGTTTGTATAATTTCCAAGATATCCTTGCTCTATTCATAGAATTTGAATGCCAAGACATCAACTGATGTTACTTATTTTTCACTGATTGGAAGGGTTAAAACATAGATAGATATAGGAGTGGGTTTTGCCTGAACCTGAACTATATTGCCGGTTTCTTGCAAAATATCACTAAGTACATTTTTTATGCAACTGTTGTTTTAATTACATTTTAATGAATTTCGACCTTATTTATTGATATTATACTATGAAATGTTAATTAATGACTTTTTGAAATAAACTTATGGTATGATGGTATGTACGGTAATCTCATAACATTCACCACTGCATACCTATTAAGTGCAATATATGCATTCATACTGTATTGGAAATTGTTTATGTTTGTGATTTTTTGGGGGGAGGGGAGGAGGGAGAATGCCATTGCATATAAGACACCCGCAAATCAAAATTATTTCACTTTATAGTAAAAAAAAAAAAATTATCTTTATTTGACTTATTATAATTTATAATTATCATCCGTTCTGAATCTATTGTTTCAGGAATGGAACATAAATCGACTTGGTACAATACTTGATTATGTTAATGAAGATTATGGGATTTCAATTGAAGGAGTAAATACTGCTTACTTGTACTTTGGAATGTGGAAAACAACATTTGCTTGGCATACTGAGGATATGGATTTGTACAGTATAAATTATTTACACTTTGGTGCTCCAAAAACCTGGTAATGAAATTATATTTTTTTAAATTTAAAAATTATTTTTGTGGCTCTGTTGATATATAAATTATACAAATTAAATATTTTAATTTTTACTTTCACTTACCTAAATATAAAATATACTGTAAGAGAAAGTGGTCTAGTAAATTTGTTTTTATTTGCAACAGAAATGCATATTTTAAGGTTCCTTCCTTGAAAGCAAGTTTCCTAAAACATGTTTCTGTGATCTTTTTTTTGTTTTAATTCAGGGTAAAGCAAAAATTTCTTGTAAAGTGACTAGGGATGCTATGCATATTCATTTTCTTAATAAACTTTCCCTCTAACTCCACTCAAACAATAGTATCAATTAAGCATTATTTAAGTTCCCCTTATTTTACTCTTCTATGTAACCGCACTCCTCTTATCTAGCTGGAAAATTAGAGAAGAAAAGTTCATACCCATCAATTTATTTGAAACAATTAGCACTGAATACAATCACGGACCGTTACCCAAATTATCTATAAATTTATAGAGACGCATCAAAAACAAGTAACCGAGCGTCTATAGCTGTATATGATCCCCAAAAGAACCAGATTTTTATTATCAACACCAGTTGATTTCAGTATTTTCAGTGCCGAACTATATGCCATTCTTAACGCCATAATATACAGCGAAAACACATATATCAACCAAAAAAAAGTTATTCTGACAGACTCAGCAACTGCATGTAAACACCTAAAATTAATCTATCAAAATAAAGCACTGACACACATTTCCTTTAAAATCATATCACTAATATACAACTCCAGCAACAATTACTTTTTCCAGTGGACACGTAAGAATATCAGGAAATGAAATGGCAGACAAAACGGCTAATCAAAACCAACTACATCGAATAAATGCTAAGGTCCCTTTACTGGATTTGATAAGAGTAGTGAGGGGGAAAATAATGAAAGACTGGCAGCATTTTTACGACTGGGAATGTGCCTCGAAGCGTAAGGACCATCATGCAGTTCAACAGAAGATAGCACTGATTCCATAGTTTGCGACCCTTAAATCTCATCTCGACCGCTCCAGCTTAGTAAAGCTGACCAGGCTTAGGATAAACCACGGTAGAACAAATAAATAAATATCTTCATCTAATGGGTCTAGCTAAGAGTGGTCACTGCCCAACATGCCAATGCTTGGAGGATTCAAGACACATTGCCTTCAAGTGCAAAAGGTTCGAGAAGTGAAGAAGAATTAGTTTAGGATCGCAAACTACAGATGATGGAGCTAACTTTCTTCGATCCATAAACAAAGATAACGCCCGTGACTTGATAAAGTTCATGAATGACATAAAAGCAGTCATATAATAAAAGTCGCCCTTATTCTCAGTTAATTGTAATTCTAATTTGTCTCAGTTTTTAACCATTAGTCTTTCTAGTATCCATAATATCTAATATCCAAGTCCCATATAAGTTACTTTTAGTGATCATCTAACTATAAACAATTAATATAAATCCAGTTAATTTACGTCTAAAAACTGTAATTTCATCTCACTATGACAATTAAAATATTTTACTGGCAAAATAGGACTTGCTTTTACAAGTCTTAAAGCCAAATAACAAAAAAAAAAAATCCATACTGTTTCTCTAATTACACTTGAACAATAGAACTGACTGAACATAAGGAACTAAAGAAGATAACAGCACTGTTTCAATTTACAATAACGTTGTTTTATAATTTTCTAAATGTGACTTAATAAATATTTGTCTGGAGATCGTAAATTTCCTCACTTCACATCTTTTAGAAAGAGCAGCAGTTCAAGATAAAAAGAAAACTGTAGGAAAGGTTTTGCAGTAATATCCTCATCAGCTGTTACAGTGGTCTTATAGGAATACATTGTTCTCATATATTGTTGAGCATTGGTTGTTTCTAAATGTAAATTTGATTTGTTGGTGTTCATATGAGTGTTCTCATATTACACAGTGTGCTAGACCCCCCTACCGTGCACCCCCCTTCCCCACATCCCTATAAATTTCTGTCGTAAATAAATAAATAAATCGTTGTGTTCCTTGTAACTATTTATTTAAAAAAAGCCAATTTTCCCACAAAAAAAAGTGAACCAACTATCCCAAACATGGCGGACTTACGACTTTGACTTTAGTTTTTTGGTCACTGAGAATCAGCATTTGTCATAGTTGGTCTTTTATTAAAGGTGGATAGTGGTCGATGCAGGTTTATTATGGTGAAGAGCATTTTATCAGCAAGAAAGATTTTTCCGAAGAAGTAGGAAGTCAGCAGGTCTGTAAACGAAGTCTGTAAGTGAAGATAGTCCCATTGTGCAACGTCAGTAGCAATTAAAAATAAAGTGGTTTTCACCATAATAAACCTTGTTTACAGACCTGCTGCTAACTTGCCTATTTCTTCAGACAAATCTTTCTTGTTGATAAAATACTCTTCACCATAATAAACCTGCATCGACCACTTAATATCATCCAAACTAAATTTCCTAATATCTCCTTTCTTATAAAGGGACAAAACTATAGTACTTTCATGTCATTTTTTAATACATTTATTACCTATGAACGCACAAAACAGTGCAAAGCAGTTCGCTTTACTTCGTCCAGATCACAGCTGACTTGCCAATTACTTCGAACAAAAATTTTTGATAAAATGTTCTTCACCATAATAAACCTGCATCGTCCTCTTATTATCATCCAAACTTCGCCAGACACTCTTTCAGCAACAACTTGAAATATTCTGTTCATCTATCTACTATATATTCGTTTAGCCCTATAATTGATACTGATCTTTGTTTTATTTTCCGAGATTTTAGCACTTCCTTTCATTTAATGTAGTTTTTTTTTAGTTTTTGGGTTCAATTTCTTGTTTTCCCTCATTTTGGGACCAAATACAAACAATCAGTTCCGGTCACCTAGAATAACTTATAGCATCTCCCTTTCCACCTTTCTTTTTGCAGAGAGAATAATGCATTCAATATTAAAATTTGCTATTTTCTTATGATATGGTCCAACTTCCTAACAAAATAAAGGAAATAAAAATTAATTTTTTTTTTTTATTTGTGATACATAGTTTTACTAAACAACTCATCAATTATTCATTATATGTAGTTCAGAGTAGGTATAAATTATTTTATTTTATAAAGCAGGTGTTAATATGACCCATTTCCGGGGAAGTATATACAATTTAAATTACCTCTAAGAATTAGTAAATTAACAAAACAATGTGTTAAATTGCAAATGTTAAATAAAAAATTCAAGATATTCAGCAAAATATTTTTGAATTAAGTTTTATTATTATGATTATATCATTTTTACAATAGAGGCCTTCTTAAACAATCTCCATATAGAATAAAATAAATTAAATTAAAAAAAAATTGTTTAATTATTTTGGACAATTAAATTATTAAATTAATATTTCTCCATTAATACAATCAATATAATATAGCAAAAACGTTATTATAACACTATAAATAAGCCATTTATGAGTACTAAATGGTGTGGTAGAGGTCTGTAGGCACCTACGCCGTACCGCTTTTCTGCCGGTTAAGTGCATTTTTTACAGAATTACTTCAAATATTTTAAAAACTAATCAGTGTTTCAGAAAGAGAAATATATTCCCCAGATGTTTTATTTCAGCATGTTTGAATTTCAGCAGACAACTTGAAAATTTTGTTGAAAAAATTTACTTTACTGGTGTTTTTACTGCCTATGCCAATTATTTTTGAATATTTTTTCATGTTTTCTTATTCTCTGACTATCCGCCTTTAATAAAAGACCAACTATGACGAAATTAAGCCAAATACTGATTCTCAGTGATCAAAAAACTAACTAAAGTCAAAGTCGTCAGTCTGCCATGTTTTGATGCCATTTTGGGGCAGTTCGTTCACTTTTTTTTGTGGGAACATTGGTTTTTTTTTTTAATAAATAGTTACAAGAAACATAATGATATGCAATTTATAGGTATGTGGGGAAGGAGTGCACTGTTGGTGGCTCTGGCCCACATACTATATCAAAGACAGATATCTGTCATTATCAGAAAGTGGATAAAATGCAATTTTCATTTTATAGTTTTCATTCAAACTGTTTCTGATGTTTTTATTTAAGAATGTTCAAGTTGAATTATGGAAAAAAAATATCATTAAAATTGGTTTAAATTGAAGCTATGTTACAAAACTCTATTTTTCTAATTTTTTTAAAAATTAAAGATGTCTGTTTTTGATATAAGGCCACTCATATGTTGTCTTGCATGATAATAGCTAAAATATAAAGACAAAAACTTTACAATATGAATTTTATTATGTAAGTCAATTATTTTTGTTAATATTTATCATATTATATTGTATATTAAAGAGTTTGTTTAATAATTGCTAAATTGGAAAGGCCGAAACCTTGCATGTTACTATCCGTCCTCGAATGGCAAGTTGGAACGATATATGCAAATCCTTAAGAGATCATTGAAAAAAAACAAAGGAGCCTGAAAAACTGTGACAAATTGAATGGGTTTCTTGCTGCATTCAGAAGAGTATCTGATACCACTACCCTCAGTTCACTGGTTGAACTAGTATTTGGAAGCCTGAAGTAATACTGAAAACGATAATAAACATGGCAAAACCAAGAGAATTCGGTGATGAGACATTTAGTGTGGAGGAGAATTTAGAATATAAGAAGTTAAGAATATTTCAAGTAGGTGACCCAGTAATGGTGAGAATTTACCACAATTGACAAGAGAGAGGACCCAACGGGTAGTAAAGAGAAAGATCAGATGATTGATGTACATCATCGTGGCTGATGAGAGATCCCTGTACAACAGCATGTAGGTCAGCTAAGGAGAGGACCAACATAATTAGTTTGGAGAAGTAGTTATTTCTTGTTAATTATATTTTGATGGATCAATATTTTTAAAAAAAGTATAGGATTGAATTTATTATAAAACTATAACCACAAATAAATGTATGAACTTTTTTTGTTTAACTTAATAATTCTCTCTGCTATATTATACATATAAAGAATTTGAAGAGAAGGA